TCTTTACGGCCTAAAGCAAGCACCAAGAGTTTGGAATTGTAGAATTGATAAATATTTTCAGGAGAATGGCTTTACCAAGTGTCCTTATGAGCATGCTCTCTACATTAAGGAGAATGACAATGGTGTTCTGATTGTTTGTCTGTATGTCAATAATCTAATTTTTACAGGCAACAATCCAAAGACGTTTAAAGAATTCAAGAGAAAAATGTGTTGTGAATTCGAGATGACAGATTTAGGACTTATGTCCTATTATCTTGGGATAGAAGTGAAGCAGATGGAGGAAGGCATTTTCATCGTACAAGAAAATTATGCAAAAGAAGTTCTACAGAAATTCAACATGAGTAATTGTAATTCAGTTAACACTCCAGTAGAATGTAACATCAAACTTTCTAGATATGATGATGGTGCAAAGGTGGATCCAACCTTGTTTCGAAGCTTAGTTAGAAGCCTAAGATATTTAACTTGTAGAAGGCCGGATATATTATTTTGAGTAGGACTAGTTAGTCGTTATATGAAGGCTCCAACGACAACACATTTGAAAGCTGCGAAGAGAATTTTACGTTACATCAAAGGTACTCTTGATTTCGGGTTACATTATTATGCCTCTAATGTTTTCAGACTTAGAGGTTTCAGTGATAGTGATTGGGGTGGCGACATTGATGATCGAAAGAGTACCAGTGGATTTGTATTTTACATGGGTAACACAGCTTTTACTTGGAGCTCAAAGAAGCAACCAATTGTTACTCTGTCAACTTGTGAAGTTGAGTATGTTGCTGTCAGTTCTTGTGTTACACAAGCAGTTTGGCTAAGGAATTTGTTGAATGAGCTGCATTTTGCACAAAGAGAGCCTACTGAATTAAATGTGGATAACAAATCAGCCATTGCTTTAGCAAAGAATCCGTTGTTTCATGAACGTAGCAAGCATATAGATACCAATTATCACTTTGTGCGTGGATGCATTGCAAACAAGGTAGTGAAGATTAATTTTGTGAAGTCTCAAGACCAAATTGGAGATATTCTCACCAAAACTTTCAAGTTCAATACTTTCAAGGCATTAAGAAATGATGATCGAAAGAGTACCAGTGGATTTGTATTTTACATGGGTAACACAACTTTTACTTGGAGCTCAAAGAAGCAACCAATTGTTACTCTATCAACTTGTGAAGCTGAGTATATTGCTGTCAGTTCTTGTGTTACACAAGCAGTTTGGCTAAGGAATTTGTTGAATGAGCTGCATTTTGCACAAAGAGAGCCTACTGAATTAAATGTGGATGACAAATCAGCCATTGCTTTAGCAAAGAATCCGTTGTTTCATGAACGTAGCAAGCATATAGATACCAATTATCACTTTGTGCGTGGATGCATTGCAAACAAGGTAGTGAAGATTAATTTTGTGAAGTCTCGAGACCAAATTGGAGATATTCTCACCAAAACTTTCAAGTTCAATACTTTCAAGGCATTAAGAAGTTTGCTTGAAGTATGCAAAATTCACGTTTAAGGGGGGGTGTTAGAAAAATAAACATGTATTTAACCTATTTAATTTAGTTTCATGAATTTAGAAGTTTGAAATACATGTATTATTATTTAATATGCACCTAGTTAATTGTAGTTCATGTATGCATGTATTATTAATTAATGTGTACCTAGTAAATTGTGGTGCATGTAGTAGAATTAAATTGAGGGGATGAACTTATGTGATAGGAAGTCCTATAAATACCTATGTAATTTTGTGTTGACTGCAAGTCCACAATTGAATAGAAAATCATTTCCTCCTCCTAAGTCACTTCTATTTCCTAAAATTGTATCCTTCTAAGGCTAACTCTAGTAAACAGAACATGAAAGAGTTCACAACCATTTCCTTTTTTTGGCAACCAGTATTTTATGTGTAATTTCTTTATAATATTTGTCTTGTGGTAAATACCACATAGAATTCCTTCTTACACAATGCCATTCAAGTTTTAACTATTTCAACTTCGGCACCTCTTGAGATTATTTAATTACTTTCCAAATTAGATACTTATTTTAGGAAACATAATTAGGGTTTTATTCAATACATTATACATTTTATACTTTTCAAATTGGATGCTTATTTTAGGAAACATAATCATAGTTTATTTAATTAATTTTCTATTATTTTCCTAGTTAAATAGACTAGTTTAAACCGTATACGAAGGGGGCTTATGCATTGTAATATTAATACTTTATATTGAAAAAAAAAAATCTCACTATTCTCTCCCCCTTCTTTTATTTCTCATATCTCTTCCTCTCTTAATCTTGTACTTGTTCGATTGTGTTCTATGTTACCAGACTTTTCAATTTTACTTTTCCAAACTATTTCAAATGCAGGACCATTATCAGTGACAGATTTTTCTACCTCTTCTACTAATCATTCAAAGGTGCGGATATCATTTAAGGTATGACACTATCAAGTTTCTATACAGAATTTTAGTTTGCTCATGATAGTAAGAAACATAGACACAATTACAAAAATTTAAAATTTTCTGCTAAAGTGAGAACTAAAGAGGCTTTACTTTTCATCTTTGTTTTAATATTTTTTATGATGTAGGGGCTTGCTGGAGCATACAGTGAGGAGGCTGCCCTTAAAGCCTATCCACAATGCGAGACTTTTCCATGTGAAGAATTTGAAGATACATTTAAGGTGACGTCATAACTAGCAATTGCAAAAGCATTTTTTTTAAAGAAAAAAACCGCATTGGATTTGAGTTTTCTTACCATTCGTTAAAAAATGATTAGCATACTAACATTATTAATTATTCAAAAAGTGGGTGACTGGATTTTAATATTTGAAACTTTCAACTTATATGATGATGGCCAAACAAAATTCAGTGATACAAAAACCTTTGATTATGTGCTTATTTTGTTCTGTTTGATATCAAATATGTTCAGGCTGTTGAATTGTGGCTCGCCGATAGAGCAATTCTTCCAATTGAGAATTCATTAAGTGGATGCATTCATAGAAACTATGATTTACTCCTTCGTCATAGACTGCATATTGTTGGAGAGATTCAATTAGCTGTTAACTTCAGCCTTCTAGCATTGCCAGGTGTCAGATTGGAGCAGCTGGAACGTGTCCTAAGCCATCCACAGGTGATAGTTTTTTTGTAATAATGATCTGGAACTGTAGGCAAATTTGATTCAGAAGAATCATGTAATTGTCTCGCTTCAATTAGAACAGTAAGGTTGGCTGATGCATTCTTTAAGTCTGTTAATTAATCAGGCAGTCCAATTATTTTTACTATCCTAAAAGCCATTCCTTGACCGTAATTTTCATCTTTATTTTTACAAATCATATTGAAGTAATCTATAATGCCTCCTTTTAGGACCGAACAAGCATTAGGAAGATATAAAAACATATTGAAGTCAAAAGGCTGAAATAATCTTATGTATTTACTATATATGAAAGCTCATGCAAGACCATATGTGAAAATGAACTACAGTGTATGATCCTGACTTTATGATTAAAAATGTTACAACTAGCACTTAATCATAGGGAAATAAAACTGGACCAGTGACCATTTTGCTAATGCTTCTTTCCTCGACAGAACTCAAGTTATCTCTCTAACCTGGTCTAGTTTTATATTCTTTGTATTACATAAAATTCTTCGAATTGTTTTTCCTTTAGTTTTCATTCCTCGCAATTTCATCCATTGATGACGCAAAATACAATAAAACAAAGTCTAACTATAACAATGCATAAGCCCCCTTTATATAGAGTTTAAACTAGTCTAATTTAAGTAGAAAAATACTAGAAAATCTATTAAATAAAATTCTAATTATGTTTCCTAAAATAAGTATTCAATTTAAGGTTATGAATTCTTTGCTTCACCATCATGAAGGTTTGTTTTGTGTCCATGGATGACACATTCTTCTGAATCAACACAACAAAGAATATATTAATTCTTATCATATTCAAAGGGAGAAGCAGGATTGAAAATGAAGAAGTTGAACGATTGACAAAGTTATACAGTTTGAATCTTGAGTTTGGTGATAAAAAAATTGTTAATGTGAAGAAAGTAACGTGGTTTTGATAGTAGCCTCAATAACTAATTTGAGAACTATTCGTCTACCTCAGACATCTTCATTTACTTGAAATAAAGATTTTTCTTAGAGTTTGAAAAATATTCTGCTAAGACTTCTTGCTTGCCTAAAGAAGTAAACTATGTACTGATTTATGCAAGTTGTGATCTCTCACGGACAGGGACTTGACCAATGTAATGCATTCCTGAATAAGTTAGGTGTTCTAAGAGAGAGTGTCGATGATGCAGCTGGTGCTTCTCAGGTACTTCACAAGTGCATCTAAGTAAATTATATTTTCAATTTCTTTAGAGTTTTTATTTTTCTTTTAAGTGTACACTTCCTTGGATCAGCTTGTGGCCTCAAACAGAATGATGGATGCTGGTATCATTGCAAGTGCTCGAGCAGCAGAACTTTATGGGTTCAATATACTTGCTGAAAGGATTCAGGTACTCGTCCGAAGATTGTTCTTTGAACTTGGCCTAGCTAATTAAGTCTCCAATTTCATTCCTACTTGTGCACCATGTAGAATCTCTTGTACCTGTGTTATAAATAATGATATTTTGAGAACTTTCTATTTTTTCTACTATTTCGAATCTCTTCTGTTAGCTAGAACCAATTCGTTTAAACTTATTTATACAAGAAGATCAACAAATCAAATATCTATAATGCAGTTTCCATAATGAAAATAGATAATTTTATCTTAGGAAATCTTTCAGTTTCCTACATTTACCAGTTTGTTCTTAAATTACATTATAGCTCTCTCAAAGTATTCCATTTATCTTCTCCCACGGCCTGAAAAAAGAAGAAAATAAAAATTGTACCATACCAAACTTGAATCAATTTTTTGGCCCCCAGCTCCTGAACATGCAATTACCATAATAATCGCAATTGAGAGCTCTATAAGTTCTAACTAAGAGCTCTATGTGATGAGGACATCTACTTTTTATTTATTTTTGTTGGATTTTATTTATGTTTTAGATTTTATTGATGTAATTGGGTTTGTGTTGGCTCAAGTCCATTCTACTTAGGGTTTTAATCTTTACTATTTAAACCTAATTGCGATATAATTTCATTAGTTTTGATGAATTGAAGAATATTTTGGTGGTTTGTTGCCTATGGCTTCTCCTTCCTCTCTCTCCCCCTCTCCCCCATGAATTTCTGTTTCTTCTCCGTTTTCTCCTCCCATTCTCTCCGGTTCTCCCCTCTTTCTTGCTTCTTTTTTTTATTTTTTAATTCGTCCTGCATCAAATTTGGTGTCAGAGCCTAAATTTGGGTAATCTCTCATCTCCAATCCAAAAATCTCTTCCTATTTCTTTCCTAAGAACTTGTGGAATAGTATAAACAAATAAACTTTTAGTATGAGCAGCTAAATTATTATTTTTCTAGCTTCTTCATAGTTCCCAAAAAAAAAAAAAAAAAAAAGAAAAAAAGTTACCGTTCATCGCGGGTATTGTTCACCCAGAATTTCAGTTTAATATTTTGGTCAGTTTCTTAAAAAAAATTAAAAAAATTACTGTTCACGAGGTACTGTTCACGCCAAAAAAAAAATCTCATCTTTTTTTTCGTGCTACTGCTGCTCATAAATAAAAAAAAAATTGCAGTGTTGTTCCACAAATCCCAAACCCTAGCATTCAAGCCCATTTAGCCCAACTAACCCAGCCTATTCTCTACGACCCAGGCCCACCCCCCAAACACTAACCCCAGCTGGCCCATCTCTATAACAGGATCCAAACCCCTTCCCATCTGGCCCAGTCCCAAATATCCAACCAAGCCCGATTATAACCAATCCATTATCATCAAATACCCCACAGTTTCACTCGATTCCTCTCTCACAACCACTCTCTTGCCGCTGCCACCTCTAATCACCATCACGCCACCACTTCATTATCTATTATACCTAAGCATCCAGAGCACTATCACTTCATCGCCATAGGCCATCACCACCAACCCAAGATTATACACTTCCACCACAATTACCACACTCATATATTTCCTCGTCCATCTTAGCAATCTAAAAGCCACAGTCACTACACACAGTTTTACGTCTACACTAGAGCCAATACAAGTTACAGTCAACAGGGGCTAAAACCATTGGACACGAAGGGAAGAACAGAAGCATAGTTGGGGCTCATAAGTTGGCAATTCAGATCAATTGGCATACAAATAATCAAAACTAAACAACAGGGAGTCTTTGATCTCTATTTAGTATTGGTTTATACTACTGCTTCATTTTTAAAATTGCATTAATTAAAATCTTGTGCTGCTGTTATCGTGATAATTTTAGCCTTAAACCCCACTTGATCGAAACCATTAATCGAATTGACACCAGTGACCGAATTGACTTCCATTGTTCCCCACTTAAATTGATTGGAGAATTTGACTAGTGTGTTGACCCTTGCTTTGCCATTTTACATGTACCAGCAGTATTAGCTTGTTTTGGATTTAATTAAACCCAATATTTAAAATTAAATAAAAAAAAAATTGGTACAAGTTATTTTCTATTGCTTGCACATATTGTTCACTGATCTCATCATAGCACATCATTTAACTGGTATTACATTGCATGTAGGTGCGTAGTAGTCGTCTTGTCGTCTCTATTTCCAATACATTGACCATGGATCCATCCCAATTCGATGCACTCACTAGACAATTAGCGCAACTTGCCACTAGCCTATCAACTGTCCAATCAAATATAACTGCTATTCATGAGGAGAGAAAGACCCTAGCTGCTAAGTTGAGCAATTTTAAGCGAACCCCTCGTTTGACTGACACTAATTCTGAAGCATCTCATAATAGACAATATTATCGTGGACAAAGTGATCAAGAATATTTTCGACGCGATCGTAGGAATAGGGATCAGGTTCATGAGTGAAAACAAGGCCATGGTCATCATGGTACTCATTCTCTTCCTCTTTCTCTTCTTCTTCCTCGTTGTGAGGAGCGTTTCTTTAGAGACGTTGACTTAGATATTCCTACTTTCGATAGTTGCTTAGATCATGAAATTTTTACCCAATGGAACACCCTTACACAAGAGAATCGGCTAGTAACTGAGTACATTGCTCAATTTGAGGAATTTCGAGTGAAATGTCATGTCGTTGAGGATGAGGCCCTGACTTTAAGTAGGTTTATATAAGGTCTACGAGATGAACTTAGGTGTGAGCTTTTCTTTCGAGGTATCACTACTCTTGATCAAGCTTACTCTTCAGCTCGGAGCTACGAGTTACTTATTAGTACTGCATATGAAAAGCGTGATCACCATCGTTCACCTATCTCATTAGCGTCATCTCATCATAAGTCTATCATAGAGCCTTCCCAGTCTAGTGTTCCTTCCCTTTGGAAAAACAAGTGTAAAGTTCGTGATAGCCCAAGGTCGTCTTCTTCAAGTAGAAAGCGTAATGACAATCATTCTTCGGTTTCATTGGTTCCACTTCCTCCTATTAAATCTCTTCTGGGACCTCCCTCGTCTAATGTTCCTCCAATTTTGGAAAATAAGGGTGTAATTTTTTGAAACTCCAAAGACTTCTCGCTTGTTATGCATCAACTGTAAGGATTTTGGCCACATTTCTTCCAAATGTCCTAACCGAGCTTTAGTCATAGAAGAACGAAAGAATGCAATAGAAGAATCGTTAGAAGATATAGCATATGACCCTAAACTTGAAGATTTTGATGATGATAGTGAGGACACATCAGGTGGCATCCAAGCTCTTCTTAGGACTCCAGATTCTGTATCCCATGATTTCCCTAGTCACTTTTATAGAACCCAGTTGCCTATGGTTAGCACTAAATCGAAATTCTCCACTGCAGACCAACCCCAATAGTCAAAATGAAGTCGTTAACCAAATTCTTAGCAATTTATTCAAGTCTCTAATCCAGAAAAATCTTGGGAATTGGGACTTGATTTCTCCAACTGTTCAAATTACATATAACAATCCTGTGAATTGGTCTTTACGTCTAAATTCCTTTGAAGTTATTCATGGTTGTGAACCTAGGAAACCGTTTGACCTTATTCCCATGTACCCACATGCTAGTGTGTTTATGTCAGTTGAGGTAGTTGTATCACATTTTCATAACTTGCATATTGAGATCAATAAACAATTTGAAGCAAGTAATGCATTATATAAACTTCAAGCTGATTCGCATAAACGATATTTTGAATTTAATATTGGGAATTATGTTATATTGCAAGCTTGTAGTGCTGGTCCTTTAAAAATTTTAAAGCATGTTGGTTCAAATGCCCATGTCATTGCTCTTTCATCACATTTTGGCTACCACTCTACTTTAAATATTGAGGACTTCATTACTTACAAACACCGTGTTACTTCCTTTGATGATCTATTCCTACTTAGCTTTATGGACCCCCAACTTGACTATGTTGATATTTCTACTTCAATGCCATCTATCACAACACACAAATATAAAATTGATGTTATTTTAGATGAACGTGTTGTATTGACCAATGATGGCAAGATTCAGTACTTCCTTGTTTGTTGGGTAGATCGACGTGCTTCTTATGCTCCTCATTATATACAATCATGTGAAAATTTTGAAGATGAGGTGCATGAGTATTGGTTATTTGGAGTCTAGTATCAGTACTTGGTTAGAAGGAAAGATCGCCTCCCTTGGTCAGATCATATTCTTGGGAATAAGCTACAGTTTTCAGTACTATCAATCATGAAATTTCGTTACTTGGTTCGTCAGAAAGATCGTCCCCCATGGCTTGACTTGACGCATTTGGATTATCAGATTGACTGCAGCCTATACTATCTATCAACTCGACGGGGTCGAGTTTTTCTCCCACCACGGGAGAGTTGATGAGGACATCTACTTTTTATTTATTTTTAATTGGACTTTATTTATGTTTTAGATTTTATTTATGTAATTGGGTTTGTGTTGGCCCAAGTCCATTCTACTTAGCGTTTTAGTCTTTACTATTTAAACCTAATTGCGATGTAATTTCATTAGTTTTGATAAATTGAAGAATATTTTGGTGGTTTGTTACCTATGGCTTCTTCTTCCCTCTCTCCCCCTCTCCCCCATGAATTTCTGTTTCTTCTCCGGTTTCTCCCCCCATTCTCTCCGGTTCTCCCCTCTTTCTTGCTTCTTCTTTTTATTTTTTAATTCGTCCTGCATCACTATGAGCCCCTTAGTTAAAAATGGACATTAAATGAAATCTCTAGGAGTCTTAATTGAGAGAGCTTAGATTTCGGGTGTAAAGATGAATAGGAGAACATACTACTTAAGTGTTAGGTTCTCCCAGGTTAAGACACTACCTCATGTTATTGCTTGTTTGCTGTTAATATGAGGAGTGATTAACTTGTTTATACATAAAGTTCCTCTCTATTGAGAACATATTTTTGTTTCATTTGGTTTCTAGTCTTGTAAATATGCAACTACCAAAAACTTAAGATATAATAATTCATGCTAGATTTCTAGCATTGGAAACTAAACCCACAAAAAGACTAACTAGCATTAACTTTAATGATTCTTATATAGAGTTATCTACCGTAAATTCAGATTAAATTACTATGTTTTTGGACCAAGGTTCAACTTATACTATCTAGGTTTATGCTTTCATCCTATAATTGTGAGGAAGAAGTATTTAAGGCTTTAAGCTAAACCTATTTGAATTTGGGCTCTAATTTTCATTAGAATGAATTTCAGTCCAAACTGAACACTGGGCACCAAATGTTTATTAGATCAAATTGGAAATATCAAAATTTAAATGCTTGGAGTTCAGTTCCTATTATTTCCAGGCTGAAATTTCAGCATGCTGAAGCAAAATTGGAAGACAAAAGGAAACGATCAAAGCCCACCCCTACTACTGTTTATGCACCTCTACCTAGTGGGCAGACATTTTCGAGTCTTTGCAGGATAATAAATCTGGTTAACCTATGTCTTGATATACCATAGAATGGAAAATACGCAGATTAGAAAAGGAAAAATGGTATACACTGGTGAAAAGACAATGGCCAAATACATATAGGTGATTTTAGAGGCAGATTATGTTTCATTTTCCTGTTAGAATTTTTGTGTGCACAATTTCACTTCCCTTAGTTTTCAAGCTAAAAGATTTTATCTTCCATTTAATTTGATATAATATTGCTTGAATGACCTGGGTGTTACAGGATGATTGTGGAAACATCACTCGTTTTTTAGTTCTTGCAAGAGATCCTATAATACCAAGGACTGATAAGCCTTTTAAGGTAGAAAAGCTGTTATCTTTTTAATTTCTATCTTGTGTTTTTCCTCGTATTAGTATGCTAAATATTGTTTCTTGATGTAGACAAGTATTGTGTTTACTTTGGACGAAGGCCCTGGAATGTTATTTAAGGCTTTGGCTGTTTTTGCATTGAGGGATATTAATTTGACAAAGGTATTGCAAAGCTCTAATCATTTTCAGCAGATTATCATTTACTCCTATAACCCGGTTATTAAATTTTAGATTGAAAGTCGACCACAAAGAAATCAACTGCTAAGGGTAGTAGATGACTCAAATACTGGAACTTCCAAGTGAGTGCTTTTTCTCGCTAATTATACTATTTTTCCAAGACTGCTTTAGACTATATAATCATGTAGCCAACATGGGCTCTATTGAGTTTTAGGAATATGCATCCATGTGTAATTATCAGTCTTAAAATTGCATAAAACCAGTACAGGGCCTATCTGGACCACAGACATGATTAATTCAGATATTTCATCTCCTACGTCACCATATTCTAGATATATAAAATATTTTGTTATGCCTGATTTAGTAAAGGTTTTGCCATGATTAAACGTTGTGTTTATTCTTCATATCTTATATCGAAAGTTCACAATGCAGAAATTGTTGTCTAATTTAAGATGTTGGAACACTGGAAAACACATCCCTCATACCAAATACTTCTATAATTTAGTAAAATATCACTTCAGTAAGAAATAAGGAAATGTAAAAAATGCTTCAGTTTTCCAACATCATATTCATGGCTACTGTAGTGCACTCTGAAATGTGTTTTGGAATCAACTCTGACTTGCACTTACCTGACGGTCCCTGGAAAAGCCAATTAGGTTTCATTTATGTGTTTTGCGTCAACTATGTTTCATAATCATGTTAAGTTTTAACAGCGTTGTGTTGTTCCAGTAAGTCCTTTACATCATTCTGGAGTCAAATTCTAGATTAGTGAGTTGTCAATTAATGGTCGTATTTTCCTGTATTCTCAAGTCTAGTATAAAAAAGGTTTAATGTATACATATTCCATAAGGAAAATGAATTATATATTTTACAATTAGAAATCTCGTTTCGAGCTACGCGGAAGCAATTCAACCTTTCCCAAAAGTGGTAAGGAAACTTTGTGTTGCTTCAACAGAGCTCAGAACAAGATATTTAATTTCAAAATATTTAATTCATTGTCCTCGTGAATATGTGTACATTTTAGCCCTTTATATACTAGACTTGAGTACGCTGGAAAATATAAACATCAATTTGACAACTCAAAAATCTAGATCTAACTCCAAGACGTTAAAAGAGTTGTTGGAAAAACAAAATTCACATTAAACCTCAACACAATTCCAAAAATATTTGACTCAGCGCAAAAATATAAAATTTGATTTTGACTTAATTAAGTGCATTAATTCCAACAATCCCCCTCAATGCTTGGAAACGCCTATCATTTCCAGGAGATAGAAGAATCTTTTTTTGGGAAGTGTCCACATAAGAGGACATGCACGTTAATGGCGAGTGTTCTCCTTCTTCAATTGCTTCTTGAATAAAGTGACATTTGATTGAAATGTTTTTTGTACTATCACAAGTAAATGAATTTTTATCCATGTAAATTGTTGATTTGTAGTCACAACCGTGTAGTGCCTATCATTTGCTTTTCTCGGGAATGTTTAAGTCTTCTTGTCCACACTGATTGAGTTCTAGTCATTGGCCTTTGTGCAGTGGAACTCTTCGAGACATGTCTTGCTTCATTTTTCAGCATACTTCTATGTTAGTTGAGCTTGGTCTCGTAGCACCAATTCATTTTGACATTTTCAATTGTTGTGGTTTTGCTTCCTAACTATTGTGTGTTGTTTCCTATATCATCTTCATTTTCTTTGTTCATTGCCTTCTTCAAACTTCTTGCTTCGATTCGTCGTTAACTTGAGACCTGAAAGCATTACAAGATAGCTCCAAAGGGAAATTTTTTATTTTTATCCATTTTGACATCAGCAACCATTTGAGCAGGGTTATTTGTATAAAAAATTTGACAACAGTTATTTGCAAAAACAAGGTGATAACCTTTCTCAAGAGGTTGTCCGACATTCAAAAGATTATGCTCCAAATCTGCGAACATCTTTTAATCCTCTTTTTGTGTTTATGCCAGTTGTGCCTTTCCCTTTAGCCATTACAACTGCACCATTTCCCATGGCGCCTTCATGGTAACTGAAGGATCAATGCTGGGAATGAATTTTTCATTTTCATGACATGTGATGACTATAGCCTATATAGAGATTCAAGATGTTATTTTCATGAGCAAATTATTTACTGGTATAAAACAAATTTCCATCTTCAGCATTTTCTTCAATGAAATTTGCTTGGTTTAATTATTTGGATTTCCAACTTCTTGTAATATGGCCAAATACTTTGCAATTATAACAATGAGGATTTCCATGATGCCAATAATCCGACTAATAATCCGAAATAGTATGATTTGATTTCTTGCAAATTTTGCAATATGAATAGTTTTTACCACCTCAATTTCCTTAGCTTTGTCATCATCTTGACTTCTTCCACAGTCTGATTTCATATCCTTGTTGAAGGTTGGGCCTGTGAAAACCGTTGCGACGTTAAATTCACCTTTTGTTCAGCACACTTGCATTTGGCTCTCCCATATGCTTTTGTCCTCTTTTTTTGTGAGCTTGTAGAGATTCCATTAGTTCACGAATGGATAATTTGGTAAAATCTTTGTTCTCTTACATGGCTCCAAAATTATACTCAAAACTTTTCCTGCAAAGTACTGTTCCAAACATTTTCAATAATATGTTGTTTCGTCATAGATTTGCCATAGGTCCTCAATCGATTAACAATTTCCAAATATGAAATTCTTTGACATTTTCAGATTCTTTCATTTTTAAATTCAGAAAATCTCTACGAAGAGCTTGAATATTAATGCTGTGTACCTGGTGGTCTCCACGGAATTCTTCTTCTAAAATTTGAAAACATATTTGATTCAACACCACCGAAAACTAAAATTCAATTTGACTGAATTAAGTGCATTAATTACAACAGCTGGAGACCCCCAAATATGATGTTACAGCAGGTATCGACTCTCTCATATTCCAGTTTCCATCTTTGTGTGACTTGTGGTATTTGATCCATTGTATAAATTATGTCAATCAGCAAATATATTGCCTTCGTTGCATTTATTAATAGATTATTTATTAGGAAGACTCTATCAGCCTGCTAAGTTTGCGACTTTCTTTTTAGGAATCATCGTGTTGATGTTTGTAATGTTTTATATTCCCCCCCCCCCCCCCCCCCCCCCCC